ACATTTTTTTTTATTATCAAATGGTAACCAAAATAAAAAAAATTGTCAGGCCGAAACCAAAAATGTTTTTATTTACATTTTTTTTTTAATTTAATTTTAATTTATATTTTATAAACGTTTTAATTGTTTAATATTTATGTTTATTTATTAATTCATTTTTTATTAAATATTTGTATTTTTTACTTTACTTTTATGGGCTTTGGGGAAATATTAGGGGTGTGAGCCGAGGTTAAAGGATGAAGCTGGCCAAACGGCCAACATCATGCTGGCAGCTGGGCAGAACCAGCTGTAATCTCACGGCTGGCTCCGGCCACTTGCAGAGACAGATCAGCGTCCCTAGTTAACAGGTAACCAGGGATACTGATCTGTCATTACTCTCCCGGACACCCTGGGAGTCTCCCGCTATTGGATAGTGGCTCTCAGCCGCCCGGGAGAGAAACACTTTCTCCCAGAGTAAACTTTTCCCTGCTCTGTTTTTTTGCTTCTGACATCTGAGCCGCCGGCCGCCATCAGTCAGAAAAAAAAAAACAGCATAGGAATGAATAGCTAGATTCCTATTGGCTATTTCACTATGCAATAGCCAATAGCAAACTAGCTATTGCACCCGCCCTTTGCTGCTGTCAATCAGCAGAGGGGACCTGAAGTTCTCCATCAGGTCCTTTCTAGTGATTGACAGCAGCAGAGGGTGGGTGCAATAGCCAGCTTGCTATTGGATATTGCAAATCGAAATAGCCAATAGGAATCTAGCTATGCATTCCTATGCGTTTTTTTTTAGTATTCTGACCGCAGCAGCTGTCAGAATACTAAAAAAAAGAAACTTGCATATAGCAAAGAAGCTATTGCTTCCTCTGCTATCTGCCATCATTTCAGGGGGGGTGCTCTCTCCTGCCTGCATTACAATGAGAGCTTAGCAGAACCGGAGGTGATATGAAAGCTGACTTTGCTGAGCTCTCATGGTACTGACAGTTCAGCGTCCCCTGGTTACTTGGTAACCAGGGGACGCTGATCTGTCAGTACCATGAGAACTCAGCAGAGTCGGCTTTCATACCACCTCTGGCTCTGCTAATCATTTTCTATTTATTTTTTTCTACTTTTTAAAACTGTTTTTCTATTCTGCTCGGTACCACAGAGGTACCGAGCAGAATAGCCGAGCCGAATGTCGCTCGGCGGCATTCGGCGATTCACTCACTGCTGTTCGGCCGCTATGAGAATAGGCCGAACAGCAGCGAGTAGCCTGCCGGAGGTTCGTCTCAGCCGACCCAGATTTTGGATTGGCTGAGTCGAACTCCTTTTGCACTTCGGGTTGGCTGAGCATGCTGAGCATGTTTGGCTGACCAGAACCCAGCCGCAGCAAGCCGATGTACGGCTGATTTCAGTTGGTGTACGGCTGAAATCAGCCGTACAAGCCTAAAGTGAATAGCCGAACAGCCTTCAGCTCACTTCACTTCGGGTCGGTTATTCACTCGGCTGCCTACGGCAGTTTTGTGAATAGACCCCATAGTGTTTAGACACTCATGTCATAATCAACACTTAAAAAAAACATGTTGAATCCTGGTAAAATGGTAAACAATTGAAACAAATTAGTATGGCTGGCTACAAAATGTTGATACAATAAAAAATACTGGTGGAGTTTTACAACATTTTGCACGCAATAGAAAAAAATACCTTGAGGATTTCTCAAGTGTTGTTTTGCACACCTCGAAAGGCAACTGTAACTGTAACATGGGTCATAACTAGACACGTGCGATTCGTTTTGTTCTGAATCGAAATTTCAGAGATTCGAATGTATCCTTTAGGTCTAGTAGGAAGTTTCAGAGGGGACCCCAGACCCCAAAAATGGGGAAAAAACGTGGGGTCCCCCCTAACATTCATACCAGACCTTGTATCCGAGCACAGGCCCGGCAGGGCCGGGGAGGGGGGGGGGGGATCGATCACCCCCCTCCCTGCACCAAAAGTATCGGGACACCCCTTCAAATCATTGGATTCAGGTGTTCAGTGAAATTTCCTTGCTACTAAATATTCCACGGTCAACTGTTAGTGGTATTATAACAAAGCGGAAGCAACTGGGAACAACAGCAACTCAGACATGAAGTAGTAGGTCACGTAAAATGACAGAACGGGGTCAGTTCATGATGAAGCGCACACTGTGCACAGGTCGCCAACTGTCTGCAGAGTTAATAGCTACAGACCTCCAAACTTTGTGTGGCCTTCACATTGGCACAACAACAGTGTAAATAGTGTTTCATGGAATGGGTTTCCATGGGCGAGCAGCTGCATCCAAGTCTTACATCACCAAGTGCAATGCAAAGCGTCGGATGCAGTGGTGTAAAGCATGCCGCCATTGGGTTCTAGAGAAGTGGAGATGTTATAGTGTGGGGTTGTTTTTCAGGGGTTGGGCTTGACCCCTTAATTCCAGTGAAGGGAACTCTTAATGCATCAGCATACCAAGACATTTTGGACAATTTCATGCTCCCCACTTTGTGGGAACAGTTTGGGGATGGCCCCTTCCTGTTCCAACATGACTGCGCACCAGTGCACAAAGCAAGGTTCATAAAGACATGGATGAGCGAGATTGGGGTGGAGAAACTTGACTGGCCTGCACAGAGTCCTGACCCCCAACCTGAAAAGACCATTGGGATGAATTAGAGCGGCAACTGCGAGCCAGGCCTTCTCGTCCAACATCAGTACCTGACCTCACAAATGCGCTTCTGGAAGAATGGTAAAACATTCCCATAGACACACTCCTAAACCTTGTGGACACCTTCCCAGAAGAGCTGAAGCTATTATAGCTGCAAAGGGTGGGCCAACCCAATATTGAGTCCTACGGACTAAGACTGGGATGCCATTAAAGTTCATGTGCATGTAAAGGCTTTTGGCAATATAGTGTATGTGTGAAAGAACGGCATTTCCCTAAGCACTTAAATAAAGATTGGCACAGCCAAGTTAGCAGAGGATGGTTTCGATCCATCGATCTCTGGGTATGGGCCACTTTCAGTCTTCTGAGGCCCTAAATCCAGAAAAGGCTTTGGCTGTAAAACGAACTCTGCTGATCCTTAACTTCAGCTGCCTGCATTATGCCATCAGCCTTCTCATAGGCAGCATGGTGTTCTTTTAAATAAATTATTTTTTGAATAGCCCGTACAGCACCCCTTCGGTTCTACTGAACCGAAGGGGTCCTGGGGCCGAAGCTAGCCGAAGGATCGGCCGAAGCTACGGCCAGATCCTTCGGCAGCTTCGTGAATAGACCCCTAAGAGACATGACGGCAATATTCACATATACAATCT